TCTAGTCTTACACTGCTAAATTAGGGACGGCTAGCGCAGATAGCCCTCGTGTAGCTTTGCGCAAAATTCAAAACAAAAAAACACTATACATCACTAGGACTAATGCTGTGACTTTCCTTATAAGTAGCGCAATCTGGGTACAGAAGAAAATTACCTGTACTAATTCAATTAAGTCAAATTACGTTTAAGATATTTGCATTCTAATATTATTCAACAATAAAACTTGTATTTGGTAATTAACTTGGTTAATACTAACACTACCGCTGGGCCCTTGCATATTGGATTAAATCGGATAATCTTACGTTTCGCCTGATACAAGACACATTGAAAACTGACCGAAAAGTCTAGAACAGTCATTTTTAAGTAAAATAGGGTATTCCAAAGGCGATTAGTGGAATTAATTCCAAAATTGCGTACGTTTGTCTTATGTGACTTGTATGTTGTTATATAGGAACTCTCTAACAACAAAGTAATGGACCCATAAGAAATTCGATAAACAAATGGTTTAGAAAAAAATATTTAAAAGTTAATGGGATCCAAACGACAACATCAATAATTCTAGGATTTAAAAAAACCAAACAATATTATTTTACTCGGCGCAATATAAAATTAATTTCTATTATTACTTAATACCACCAGAGCATTGTCAGCGTATATTTTATATAAAATATAGTTTTTTAGTAATTACTTTTTTAACTGCTTATGTCATATATTCCAACCTCATTGGTTGCAAGGCGTTAATTGTTTTATCGTACCTCGTAATCAACTTCGTTCTCGTTGTTTCCAAGGCGTTTATTCTGACTGCTTTGTTCGTTTGCCAAATCCTGGGCATGTTTTAACAAGATATTGTTAAAATCGACTTCACTATGCACCTCCAGGAGGCGTTGTCGAAACTCCATGTCTGCAAATATAGTGGAAAAAGTTCTTCCGGTTTCCAGGGCGTTCTTTGTCCCTTTCTGAGAAGAAAGAGGAAAACATCTTTCTGTAGAGAAAATATTTCTCAGCCGTAAAATGTATATAAAATTTAAATTTCAAAGTATTTCATGGATGTTTTATTTTAATAAAAGTTTTTTTGGAACTCTCACTTTGAGAACATGTATTCCTAATTTAATGTAAAGTTGTAGCAAGAAACCATGGGAAATATATTGTACTCCAATATTTGATCTTCAAGATTACTTTGAAGACTTCAGAATATTTGATTGTGGAAATTGTTAAATTATCCAAGCCTTTAATTCAAATGAAGATTTCAGAAACATGTATTTTTCAGTACAAAGTACCGCTTCTGACTGGGTCTCGGGTGGCTTTGTAACTTTGAGGGCTTAGAAAGCTAACATTCTGGGTTCCATATCCGCGTTGGGCTTTTCGATTAAGCAAATATTAAAAATACATTTTAAATTTGGCTATTAGTAACATTTATTTTCTCAACAGATGCCTCTGTATGACAAATTTAGACTTAATTTGAAACAAAATAAAGTTTCTATAACACTGTCTAGGCTTACTTATAACATGACAAGATATCTCTGTATGACAAAAGTTAGGCTTTATTTCAAACAAAAGAGTTTGTATAACACTGTTTAGGCTTAACTGACAACAAAAAAAGGCCATTATATGATAAAGATAGTTGTAATACACACGTATAGAACCAGTTAAGCTAATATAACATCACAATTCTCAGAAATATAGTTATAACAACGATTAAATTTTATTTCATATTATCGTACATGAGTACCATAATCAGATATTTAGGTAACTGCCAACAACAAACACATCAGATGAGTTCAACTGTAGACAAACTTACAGAAACTGTACTAATTGGCCAGACACCAAAAGTAAAGTTTTATTTACAAGACCTTTTATTTTTTTTGTAAGAAGAAGTCATTACTTAAAATATATTTATAATACTTTGGTAGGAAGATGTTACTTCAAAGTCTTCAATTAAAATATAGCCGATAATATATACGACTGAGTATATTTGTATTAATGAAACAACCACAACTTGAACAACTTTCTAAACGTTTTGTCCCCAGCTAAATTTTGGGTTCGACTCGTCTGAAGAGAACGGCGCAAATAGCTTATTATGTGAGCATTCATTTTATCACTCTCAAAGATCAGGAGTTAGTTATCAGTTGCATCACGCTTCTTACATCATACCTTTTCCAGCATTCTGTTAAGTTTCAACATTTTTTGTCCGAACTGACAAATAATATACGATGTCTGACCTTTGAGAGAACAAGATATATGTTGTGTGTGTTTTTGGAAACGAAACTTTCTTGGCATATATATGTATATCATACATTTAAATAAACGGCTCATGACGGCATAAGTTATTGTTTTCTATTCGTGAATAATTTTAAATATAACATATTTCAAAGCAAAAATCTATCGACACGTTCCGCGTTGGTCTCAAGTGACAAAACAGTAAGACCGAGGCCTTATAATGCTAAAATTGGAGGTTCGATTCCTGCAGCAGACACAGGATAACAAATAAATCAACTGTGTATCTTGTAAGACTGTACCACTGTAAAACTTTCATACTATGGTGTACTTGTAATCTTCTTCGGGATTCGGTACATGTATTGGACCAGGGAGGGTCAGGTTCAGCGTAGTCCTCCTGGAATTGTTATTTTGTTTGCTACTGTTACTGAATCCTAGGTAA